GTGTCCTATTTTAATTGTTTATAATTGTAATAGTGACATTTTAAAGAACTTTGTTTCGTTTAAAATTTTTAGAATTTTTCTAACTAGCGGTTTTATCTGAGTAAATTCTTTCTTCAAGATGTTTTTTTTAGCAATTATTAGTAATTTTTTTATGAGTGTAAACTAGCCCACAATTCAGCTTCTGGGCTTGAAATAAAAGAGTTGAAATAAACCATAATAATAATACGTGCAGTGAAGCAAAATAACAGCACTTGAGGTCACCGAAGTACCTGGCTGCTCGCAGTCGGGGAAGCAAAGAAGTGAAGGCAGGTGCATGGACTCGATGGTCTTTTATAATGAAAGGACCCTACTCGTACTGCGTAGGTGCAACTGCCAATAAATAACACGAAGTCCCGACTACAACATACCTTATGTCACCCGTGGTGGAAACATTAAAATACAGTACATGTTCATGTAGATAAGGGCTGTAATAGTAAGGCATACGGCGAGACATATGGGGTTGTGGTTTGTATTATGTATATTATTACGTTCCCCTGAGGGGTTTGCAATTTGTCAGTTGGCGAAATTATTGTTCTCGAGGGGAAATTGTACCTCGCGGTTAATGGAATGCTTCAATGTTCGTATTGCTCTGTTGATTACGATGAGCTTGCTTAGTGAGGGTAGGTATGGGGCCTACTTATTAAAGTATAATGTAATCAACATACATGTACTAAGATGGAAAGCTTGCGGTAAGCACCATGCAATATCTCTTTTTGAGTCTGTGTGGTTCTGTTAAGAACCGGAGAGGCTCAACGTTTCGGACAGTGTGCTCTGTCCGTCGTCAGGAGACTGACGACGGACAGAGCACACTGTCCGAAACACTGCTTTAGTGTAAAACAAAAAAGTGCAACAATAAGGATGAAAGTAAAACAAAAATTGAACATAAGGTTAATTAAAACAAATGAAACCACTTTCAAGGGTCATGGTGCAGTAACTGCTACCTGTACATGGTACATGCACCTGTACCTTTAAAGGTTTGTATTTCCAAGACCCAATGACAATTTTACTGCAGGATTTCTGCTTAACTTGAACCCTTGCAAAAGCATGAAATCCACCCAGAACTATGACGGACTTTGCAAGACCTAGGAAGCTCGGTTCTTATTAAACAAGTGTGAAACAACGCTGGGTTGAAAGCAGGGTGCAGAAAGCAAATTTCCAATCCAGGGCTGTCATGGATTTACCCGGGGTCGAGTTAAAACCGGGTTGAAAGGCTGTAGGAAGAAAAGGCCTTTAGCTACGGGGTGCAGAAGAAAGGAAAATAAGCCACACGGTTACGTCCCCACCTGCCACCCCAACACTCACCGATAGCCTGTGGCACTGTACTCTTGATACTCCCCTGCCTGGAATGACACCGTGTCCGTCAAGATGAGGTCCCCATAGGTTGCCATGTCCACAACCTGCCATGAATTCTGTTTCTCCCTCTGCGGCTGGTCGGCCGGAGTCCCACCCTGGCCGTTGCAGAGGGTTACCAGGACTTGACCAACTGGGGTGAGCTTCACCACACAGCTGTGTGCAAGAGACCAAAGTACAGGAGTTTAACGTGGCGGCGTTAATCTGTGCCGAAGACTTGGGGGATAGGGAGGAATAAATAACACTTGACATAATATTACCACTAAATTTCAAAGGGGGGCGGGCTTGCATAACTTATACGACACTACAGGAAATTTTCATGATACAAACGTACATGTACACATACTGTATACGCACACCCTTTTAACTTACATGTACATCAAAACAGTGTATTCAAAGCTATTCAACTTGTTCTCAGTTTTTCTGTAATACTGAATAGAGTTTAACCCTCCTATGCTGAAGTCACTCTTTGGGTCACTTGGTAAACACCTCAATGAAGCACAGCTGTGTTGTGTTGTGCACTGCACCAACTGTCCATCACAGGAATATCAGATTGCACTTTGGTGCTGCCCAACAACTGTGCTTCACTGTTTCATGTGCATAATTGTGCAGTAAATCAAATGCAGTGAAGAGGACTGCACAAAAGACCCTGGGCCATTTTGTGCTGACAACCTACTGTGTACACACTGAACCTGTGCATGTTTGAGTTCCATATAGAAAACACATGCTCACCAGTGACTGTGGGCATTTGTGCACATTTGTGCTGTAAAACCATAGGAGGGTTAATATACAGGCAAAGTTCAGAAAAATTGGGCATGGGACAGCCAAGTTCTTGTGGGGCAGACTTCCCTCCTCCCTCCCTATCTGTCACGTGGTCCGGAAAAACCAAGCCCTTCAAGGGTTACCAAGAAGCTTAATAAGTGCAGTGACATGCCGTGACAGACATAAATCAGTCGAGATCGATTTCAGACTAACTTTTGCTTGAGTGTGTCAATTATGTGGGGTTGCTGTCACGGAATGCAGTCCTACCTCTGAAAGAAACGTCGGAGAAGGTCCCTGTTCTTGGCAATGTTGGCTTTGCCAGGGACATGGGGAAAATTGAAGATGATCCCATCAAAGCTCTGTCCCTCCAGAGGTGGGCTGACATGGATCTTAGTCGCATCTACACCAAAAAGGCAGGTTACACCTGTTGTACAGGTACCATAAGTGAAAAAAATGAAAGTGAACTCAACACTGCAATTCGAACCTTCACCTAAAAACCATCTATCGTGACTGAGGCCAACAAAGTGCTGTATGGACTATAGTGTAATTTGGCAACCAGAATTAGGAGCCATTATTGCAGTGGCACAACGCTCGTGGGCAGGTGATAATGCGGGCGTTACATGCCTCCTTAACCCATAGGATGTCGTGTTTTCCCCTCTCTGAAAAAACAGTTTCAGAGGCATTTTTGGGTCAACGTTATCTGTGGCAAAATGAAGAGGAACAGTCCAGGAAATCATCATCTAAATCCAGCACGAAGGATTTACCCTAGTTGGAGAAAAAGGAGCATTTTCCTCAACCACAGGAGAAGAAAACAGGTACGGGTGTGTACATGTATGTATTTGACATGTGTGATCAATTAGTGTTGATATAAAATTTTCCCCATCAACACATGTATGTTTCTTCATGGCACAGTCCTCTTCTACTCGTTTACACATATGTGCACAGTGAATAGCATGCACAAAAGGTACTGAGTGTGTATCCCTATGGAACAAAAGCACTGACCAGTAAGATGGCTGCCATGTACAACCTCTATAATTTGATGTAATTTTTGGCTAAATCAATCCATGTATATTTGTACAAACAAGGAGAAATGGCATCCTCCTATAATATTGGCACAAAATACCCTTTTCCCTGGACCCACCTGGCCGTCCCCTGCCCCACCTTTGAAAAGGTAGCTCCATTTATTCCCCTCCCCTCTCACCATGCCTATTTTGTACCAAGTCGTTGGGGGTACATGTACCAAAACAAATTCACCCCCCACCAAAAAATCCTGGCTCCGCCCATTTGGGCTTGCCACCCCTCTTTCAAAAGTATTCTACCGACTCCGCCTCGAAACATTTTTTCTAGACTTAGACAGAGGTACTTCTCGAGGAAAGGCACCGTACATTATCCATGCATGCGTCCCCCGTGAATGGCAGTGACTTCAAGAAACTTGGACAATTTTGTAGCTGTTAATACCTCTTTCTCTCAATGCCTCAACATTCTCTCTGCCGTTTTCCCTCTTCCAGACCGCAGCTTCCTCCTCGAAGGACGTGGCTATGACTCGCACATCTGGGTTCAGTTTCTGGCTCAGCGACCTTGCAAAGGAGAAGTTTCCTTCACCGAGGAGTAGGACCGATCTGCATGATGGCAGCAGACCATCCATCTCCCTGTGTTACTGTCTATCAGCATCTATCAGCTGCCAAAGAAATTGTACATTTTTCAAGTATTGTTCTCATCCCCTCTGAAGGGTTGCTTTTTTAGACACTCCGCTGTTAATATTACCCAGCTCTGATATTTTGGAGGGGTAGCACCTGTTGGAGTATGTGATAAACAAATGTCCATAAGCTCAGGCTGAGGGTAATGTCCTCACACCTGGACAATTCCTCAATCCTGATGAAGGCTGGACAATTTGAGTAACAACAGGTAGGACTCTACAAATTGCTGTTTCTAACATTTGGACATGGTAAAGTACTTGAGGGCAACGGAAAGAATAATTTCATGGGTTGACAGACAAAGGATCTTTGCCGAGCGGAATAAACATTTCTTCTGTCACCAAATGAAATCCTTATCACTGCATAAATGCAAAACATTTATGATTTGTTTATACAACACTTGCAAATTCTCTTCTGTTAGAACAAACAGTCCTGTTCCGCTATTTTTCATTATTCAGTGCAGTCAGCGTGCGCGTTGCTGTCATTTCTGCCTATTTTTATGTGTAGCGCCCTCTTCAGTCACATGCAATTTCAACGTCATCATCATCAATCACGGAAAGTCCAGCGGATTAGGAACGGGGGGGTTAAAACAGGCCACCCCAGTCAAATTCCGGATCTATCCGCTACCCCCAGGGATTTACTGACATGCAGAACTGTTCTTGGACTGATTCTTAAAGGCAGCTTTCACCACCAGGCCATGCAATCTTGGTAGGCCTACTTGATATAGAAATTCCCCCTGAATTCTCCAGGGAAAGTGATAAGGAGGCGGATCGCTTTCAATTCAAATCGGATTCAACTCTTCATAAAGCCGCTGTGGAGCTTGTTGTGAAGGAGGAAACTTTCCTCGCAGTGGCCCATATTCAAGAACTGACTGGGCAAGTGTGACGAAACATTCCTCAGATTAGTTCTACGGCATAGATTACATTTGATAAGGACCTGCCGAATCATACGATCGCCAGCCTTAAGCTGGAAAAACTTGATGTTGATACGTGTATCAGACATGTAAACAGCATGCACAGGTCTGAGATGCAACTCACTGTTTCCCTGGTTCTGGTGATTTCCTCGTCCTGCCGATAAACTTAAATTCTTAACGAGATGACGAAATATTTAAGTGAGTTCTTTAAGCTTGTACTATCATCCGTCAAGGACTTTAAGATGAAATTAGTCATTCACGGTAATTGTTCTAAGAATCAAACTAAGACATGTGATTAAGACTTTCCTTTCTTAAGTTTTGTGACTTTAACTGCATCCTGTTTCTAACTGTATATAAGTCCTGCATCATTGTAGGGTACAATCCACTAATTCCAGCCCCATTGAAAACAGTGTAAAATCACCATTCTTCAGAGCTCAATAACATGCAAGCCTACATCCCTGAGGTGTCTCACACAAAAATTTAATTATTATTCAGTCATTAATCTTTCAGTTTCTTTTCAATTTTCGGGGGGTTAACCAATTACATTTTTAATTATTCACCCAAAACAAAACCAACCCCCCAAAAGTCGCAGTTCCCAAGTCAGCACGCAGCCATTTTTCAAATGGCAACCCTCTAT